AGTTCCGCCTGGTGGCGGCGAGCTCCAGCAGAGTCGTCGACTTTCCTCAACGATCCGGCCGAATTTTGCCACAAAATTTAGTTCGCCGAGATGCTTGCAGTGATCGGTACCGCCTACGAGCAAGAAATACGAGGGGAGGGCCACGGTGAAGGAAACATCATTTTAGGTCATTTCGGCGAGGCGGCGTTGTGACGTCGCGTGGGGACTGTTTGGGTGCGCTTCTGTGCACTTGCGAGTGCTTGACGATGCTTGACGCTGCTCGGGCGCTTGGCGTGCTTTCCAAGCGCTAGTCAAGCATTTGGGTGGTCCTCTGATGTTCTGGCTGGCGTGAACCGCACGCGCTCCTGCTTAGTAAGTCGGCACTTCGTCTTTCCAAGTCAACTGCCCTAGTCGACGACTCAGCGCTTCCAGCGCTCGGGGAGTCGCTGAAGGTACATTGCAGGCGGTAGACTTTGTATGGCGTACTCCTACGCTCCGGAGTCCAAAGTCGTAGGGTGCTTTGTCTTGTGAGAATACAACGTCTATCGTTCTAGGCCATAAGCGCGGTCGATGATGGGGGATGCCAACCTTCTCGGCCGCTGATTTCGGCAATTGTTGCTCTTGTCTCTGCCACGTGGCTAATTGTTCGGTGCTACTGTCTACCTTGTTCTACAGTCTACCTTGTTCTACAGTACCTCCTTTGGAAAAAGTCTGCACATCCTCCTCTCTCCTGCCGCCAACAGTCGTCATGTCTGCTGCATCTTCGCGTTCATCTTCTTTCGTGTTCGAGGACGAGCCTGACGAACCCGCGCCTCCGTGTCGACCGTGGAAATATCTCGAACACCCGGACGCGAAGGAGTGGAAGCGCGGGCCACTGGAAGTTCATGATTACCCCAACCTGGGTGACTTCGTCGTGCTGTCAATAGACGCTATTGCGTCGGTCGCTCACCTTGACATCGCTGCAAAGCAAGCCGCAAGACAGCTGCCAAGAAGGAAATACGTCGCTCTCTGCCATCAGGTGCGTCTGTCGCCGTCTGCCGTTGGATGCTCGACTGATTTACTTTGTAGACCACGGGCCTTCCTATTCCTACGAAACCCACACATCCATACGACTTCCTCTTCGTTCGTCAAGGGAGACCGCATCCAAGGCTTCTAGATGTCGACTCTGAGGACTCTTGTATCGCCGTCCTACCGAACAATGTGGTCGTCTCAGATCAACCTCCTGTGCGCCCAGCGTACCCATTACCTTGGGATGACTGCTACCTCGACACGACATACGGCTTCCCTCACGGGTGTCGAGTGACATGCATCGATCGAGACTATGTCCCCGTTCTGCCCATTCTTGACTCCGAAGCTATGCGGATAGAGCAGAGCTTGCAGGACCACTGGTCTCCTTTACTTGCCGAACGTAGAAGGCGCGAGGATAATTGGCCGGAACCCCTTGATCTTGTCGCGCTCCCTCCCTTACCCTCTCCCCAAGTACACGAAGAGCAAACGGCGAAGGCGACACCCGTCCTCCCGCCTGCGGAGCCTTCACTTGAACCCACGTCAGCTGCGGAGATGGGCGCGAATCAGTCTCACCATGCGGACGATAACTATGATGCAGCCTCTCTCATCGAAAGCGATGACGAGAGTGAAGACATACACTCGCCGGAGTCTGGAGGAGACGAAGAGCTCGACACATTTCTCGCATTCGAGACTATGATGAACGATGTGGGCAGTCTTAGAGATCCGGTGGTCAACGTTTGGTACGACCTTGATATGGTAACGAAGATCGTCGACCCCATTCATTTCCTCGAAGATGTCAAGCGTTTACGCATGTACGCCTTTACTCGAATTCCCGCGTTCGTGCATGCTTCTGATTCTCTGTATACAGTATCGTCGACGAAGCGGAAATACGTCTAGGTATTCGTCCCGATCCAGCGATAGCAGATCGCTCGTCGGTGTCAGGAACATCGGAGGACAACGACTCTCATGATCAACCAGCGCTTTTGTCATCGGTCAATACAGCGGCCACCGTAGATTCCGTGCAAAGTACACACAAGGACAAGCACACTCACTCCCTTACCAAACGTACGTTTAGTCCTGCGTTGAGAGTGAATATAAACTCACCCCTCTCAGCATCGTTAGGACTGGGAGCTCGTCTCGCCACCGCTTCCTCTCGGCTCTTATCTCCTGCGCGCTCCCTCATGCGGAGGCTGGTGTACAAACGCTCGAGTGCTGCAAGAAGCCGGGTAGCTCCATGATGAGAGAGGCGATGTTTATGTCGGGATATCCCTACTTCATAACACCCTAATCTTATGGTATTTCTTCACCGAATACTCATTTTCCCGCATGCGGATGATATCATGCGTCTACCCGCTCTCAATCCAGTGCCTTGACAATCCCAGCTCCTAAACATTGGTGCGAACACTTCTGTGCTTGAGTGCCGTTTCAGTCGTATAGCGAAAGCGCGCTGCTCGTCGTCGAGGCCCTAGTGATCTCGATTCTGCGTAGTGTCGAGATGCAGAAGCTATCCTACTGATTGAGGAAAGCGTGAACATTACGTGCACAATGCTTTAGAGCCTGGTGCCCTGGCGCCTAGAACGGCCTCGTTCGATCGCCGAATATAAGTTTTGATTGTGGTTAACCACAAAAAATCGAGCTCGTTCTCAGTGAAGTCCTGCGCACTTGGGTGCCGCGTGAGAATTACCGGGCCACACAAACGCGCTCACATGCTTTGTTTCGCCACGCGAGCAAACCGCGACGCGCTCCTGGTGCTGGTCGACTAGATCTATCGAGTTAGACGTCAGCCGTGGGCTCAGTCGCAGTACGAGAGTAGCGATCGAAGCACCCTGGGCCTCCAGGGATTTGGCGTGATGCTGCGTCGCATGGCGTCTGCAATGAGGCGTACACGAGTTGAACCACTCTCGTGACTTTTTTAATTTCAAGACTTGTGTGGTTGATGGCGGACTTCAGAAAATGGAAGTGGAAAATTTAGCCGAGAGTGTGACTCAAATGCTACGTAAATGATAGGTACTGCACAGTACTGCAC